GTGGCGGATCCTGACTTCCTTCCGTGACGACCGTGATCCGGATCCGTGGCGACCTTTCGAGTCTTCGCCACTTTCATGCATGAGTGCCTCTCAAACGGCGACGATTCGCCCCTCGCGGCGGGGTGAGATCGGCTTCAGGTCGACTTCTGTAGAATCTCGAGCTTGAAGCACCGTCCGCGTCGAGCTTGGCTTGGGTCTGAAAAAAGTATGAAGTAAAAAAAAAACAATACTTCAGTACCGCTCAAAAGAAGAAGAAGAAGAAAAAACAATTTAAACTAAAGTCCAACTCTATTTACTTACCTCAACCCAGTCCACAAGTCCGCCACTGGCGGCGGTGGCGAACCGTTGGAGGCGTTCTTGAAACCCGTTGGAGGCGTTCTTGAAACCCGTTGGAGGCGTTCTTGAAACCCGTTGGAGGCGTTCTTAAAACCCGTTGGAGGCGTTCTTGACACCCGTTGGTTATGCTTGAGTGCTTCCGTCATAAAGACGGCTTGCGTCTGAAAAGAAGAAGGCAACCAAGGATTAGTAGCAAGAAGAACCGAAGTCACTCAGAGCCAAACTAAAGAAGGGAACAAAAAAAGGAACCAGCGACAATGACCCAGCGTGACTAACCTCACAAGTTGGTGACGTCGCCGCGAGCCGTGCAGGATCTTGACCTTCGGGTCCTCGCCACGTCGAATCTTACACGGCGATGAAGCGTCTATCGCGGCGACGGTCGCCGCGAGCCGTGCCGGATCTTGACCTTCGGGTCCTCGCCACTTCGGATCTCATGGGAAACTTCGAAGCTCCCGAGGCTCTTGAAGAGCGGAGACATTGCTGCGAAGAACTCGCAGTGGAGATCATTATCTTGTCGCGGTGATATGTTGCCGCGAAAATCCGTCAGCACACGGTTCGGCTCGAAACACTTGGCAGCTCGCTCCTCACGACACCTACCCACCCACCCCAACCCCTAACTCAACGCCGCCTCGTGCTTCGAGCTTCACCGTGTACTTCAGGTAGCTTCAGGAGCTCATTAGATTGGAGCTCTTTGAAAACCCTTCCAAAGTTGAAAAGGAAGGAAAAGAACGCTACAAAGGCAACATCGCTAGATTATATGGAGCGGATGAAGCTCGAGAGAGGAGCAAGCGGAAGGTAGTTGCTGAAGCAGAAGGAAAGCGTGCTGCTGATCAGTGGATGAACGAATTCAGCGGCAGCCATTCTGAACGGCGGCGGTCGCGGTACGTCTTAAGCAACTGCATTCACTCCTACCTGCAGCCACCTAGCGTAGGTGAACTGCATTCACTCCTACCGTCCATTCACTTTTGACTCGGAGCTCTTCAACCCAAAAGTGATAGGTGAATGCAGGTAGGAGTGATACAATAAAACAGCATATACCAAGGTGCAGTGCGGTGGACGGGGCGCGGCACTAGTGTGGTCTGAACTGTGTGGGAGGGAATTTCTGGATCCTGACACCAGGCTAGGCGCGCGGTGCGATAAAGTTGAGTGTGATGTGAAAGGATGGATGGTGGTGGTGCAGGCGACCGCAACGGTGAGGAGGTGTGGTGGCATGTGTCATGAGTCAATGAAATGCCGCGGCGAGATTGCGGCAGGCAGGGAGGGGACATTCGTCTGAGCGGCGCGTGGCGAACATTTTGAGAGGGCTGAAATTGTGCCCCCGAGTTCAACTCAAGTTGTACAGCACATTCATTTTGCACTTTCGGGTTATACAAATCGGATTGACTTGTCCGTATGCAAACGCGTTTGCCAAAGGCGAGTATTGGTGGCTGGGGAGCTTTGTTGGGCATGCTTGTGTGCAACGCAAGGGCAGGCTCGAGCTTTCTAGGAGGTGGTTGACGTGGCGCTATTTTTTAGTTGGGCCATGAGTTTTTTTTAGCTGATCCGCGTGAGTTTTGCGTGAGGTGCGGGACGGCTTTGGTTTAGGGAAAGTTCAGCTGAACCTGCCTCGGGCAGCTGGAATAACAATGTATGGATGAGAAGAAAATTACGTGAACCAATGGAATGAAGTTGTTTTTGACACCCTGGCACAACCACCGGACCTGGTGCTCCGCACCTGCCACACCTCCCTTCACCCGTCATTGTCCAGACCAGATGTATTACATGTGACTTGCACTAGTTTCGCCACGCATCGTCTTAGTTTCGATAGTTATTTTTTTGTGAAGACAGATCTCAGCGCGGTAGTCGATCTAAGCACACTTCATGGCAGCGAACTATTTCATGTAGCAAGTGTCGCTCACGCCGTCGGTCGTGCTTACCTATAATCGATTTACGCTTCAATTGGCGTGCTAGCAGTATCAGATCTGAATAGATATCGCATTTTCGGCAAGACAGTTCAAGTTGCACGCACCAGATTTTACTTCTATTTACTTGCGTAATGCGGACGTTTGTCGGCGGACGAATTGCTATCGTCGATTTCGTACGCATCAGTAACGTAGCGGGTCTCGTCGAGTAGACAGCGCCTTTCGTCAACTTCACACCGTCGACGGTATCCTGGACGCAAGACGCGGAAAAGGAGGCGAGGGGAGGTGACGGTGATTTCCCCTTCCCCCTCCCCTTTCCGCTTTCCCCCTCGTGACTTCAGAGCATCGAGAGCAGGAAATGACGGAGAGGACTGGAGAAAGTTGGAAGCCTCTGTACTTTCCCCTTCCCCCTACATTTCCGTTTTTTTCTCTCCCCTGTCCGCTTTTCCGCTCCCCTTTCCGCTTTTCCCCTCCCCTTTCCACGCTCCCCTCATCTTCCAGGACTTCAGTGCGCGTCGACGGTCCCAGTCTGGACGCAAGACGGGAAAAAGGGAGGACGGGAGCGGAGGGGAGGTGAGCAGAGGGGAGAAGAAAGACGAAGGTGGGCGGAGCGGAGGGGAGAAGAGGGGATATGGACGGAGAGGACTGGCGAAAGGGCGAAGCTACCATTTCCCTTCTCCCCCCCCCCCGCCCCCCCCTTCCTCCCCCTCCCTATTGTTCTCTTCCTTCACCACGCACCCCTCGTTCCCCATTCTCCGCTCATTCCCCCCTCTTTCCAGTTACCCTCCCAACCCCCCACTCTCATCACTGTTGCGCTCTAATGTTCTCTTCCTTCACGCCCACCCTCAGCTCCCCTCGATTCACCCCTCGTTCCCCCTCTTCCCCCCTCCCCTCTTCTTCCTTTTCTGACTCACCCCTCATCCCCTCTCCAACACCCATACCTCAACTTTTCCTCCGCTCATGCTTCGTCTCCATCGCTATCCACCCCTCATCTCCCTCCCCTCCCCTGCCACTGCCCCCTCACTACCTCATCTCTCTCACCCCCCTCCCCTCTTCCGCAACCTAGCTGTCCTCATCCCCCCTGCCCTTCCCTCACCTTTTCCCCACTCGCCCATCATCTGTTCTCGCCCATGCAATCTGCATTCCCCTCCTTTTCATCGGTATGACTGCTTGTGTTCAGTGCATGTCAATTAATTCCCCAGCTGCCTGGTCTGGCAGGTGAGTGCATGTGATGTGATTGCCGCTCGTGACTTGAAACTTTCTTATTGTGGCTGCTTGCTTTTTTCTGCATGCCATTTGACAACTCAGCTGCCTGGTGTGGTACGTGGCTGCGTGACTGCTGCTTTTACTGCATGCCATGCCATTTGACGACTCAGCTTTCTGGTGTGGCATGTGGCTGCATGTGATGTGATGTCACTGCATGTGATGTGACTGATACTCGTGACTGCATCTGATGAGACTGCATGTGATGTGACTGCATGTGATGTGACTGCATGTGATTTGACTGCATCTGATGAGACTGCATGTGATGTCACTGCACGTGATGTGACTGTTGCTTGTAACTGCTTATGCAATGTGACTGCTGCTTGTACCGTAACTGCTGCTCATGTCAGTCAAAGCCGAGATTTCCCAATCCCATGTGGCACTCTCTGTCTGTGCGACTGCTTGCTCTAACAACACGTCATTTGTCTTATCAGCTGCCTGGTCTGGCACGTGGTTACACATGATGTGATTGCTGCCCGTCTCGGTCAAACCAGCCCTTTTTTAAACCCATGTGGCATTCTCTGTCTGTGTGACTGCTTACTCTAACAACACGTCGTTTGACTTCTTAGCTGCCTGCCTGGTCTCTGGTACGTGGCTGCATCCAATGTAACTGACTGGTTTGCGTTTGCAGCCAGAGCAACACTCTCTTTGATTCCTGGTTGAAGCTTGGCTGGCTGCAGGTGATGTGCCAGCAGCAGTCCCACTAGTTTATGCTATAATTCAACTTTTGATTGATTGAGATATGTAGCATGTTTGTACCTACCCTGTTTTGATACAAAACTCTCTGGCCATGTCAGATGCACCAGCCATCAGCCTGCTGTGCCTGTGCACCCAATCACACCACCTAATCACACCACCTAATCACACCACCTAATCACACCACCTAATCACACCACCTAATCACGCCACCTAATCACACCACCTAATCACACCACCTAATCACACCACCTAATCACACCACCTAATCACACCACCTAATCACACCACCTAATCACACCACCTAATCACACCACCTAATCGCACCACCTAATCACACCACCTAATCACACCACCTAATCACACCACCTAATCACACCACCTAATCACACCACTTAATCACAGTAGTGATGAGAAGTTCCACCAGTTCATAGCCTAGCAAGAAGCCACGTACTGGTAGCTAGCAAAGCACTAGCAAGCAATTTAGTTCATTGATGCAGTGTACACCGTACTAGACTACCCTCAAGGTTATGCAGTCCTGAGAAAAGCTGGAGATAATGCTGAATGCAGTCCGTCTGACTGAGGAGAGGTAATGCTGAATGCGGTGTACACTAGACTACCCTCAAGGTTGTGCAGTCCTGACGAGAGTTCATTACGACGCTATCCGCCTGACTGACGAGATGTGACCGTTAACTTCGCCAGAAACAGAGGATTTGATAGCATTTGGGGACTTTCGCGTGATGATTTGGAGTGAGATTCGATTGTTCATGACATTAGGATATACTGATCGTTCAAGCGCTTACAATGGACGATTTTATTGACCTGAGCGATGACCAATGGGAGCGCCTCGAGCGCGGCGAGCGCATTTCTTCCCCGAGCTGCGGCGCCGGTGATCGCGCCGATGATCGCGCCGGCAATTCCGCCGCTGATCCCGCTGTGAATTCCGCCGGCGATTGCGGCCGGCCGATGGACCCGCGATTGGCGCTAGAGCTCGAGGATGAGCGGGAAGACGTCGAAGCGCGTCTGCAGAAAATACAGGAGGAGGTCGAGTCGCTGCTAGAGGAGCAGGAGCAGCTAATTAAGCGACGCGAGGAGATTAACTCCAGACTAGAGGCGTCGGCTGCGGCTGCAGCCTCGTGGGCTGCTGCTAATAACGCGAATATTAATAACGGAGTTGTCAGTGAGAGCAATAATACCAGTGATAGGAACGATAGTGGTGGTGGAAAAACTGAGCAAGGGGTAGCAGTGAGTGTGGGGGGGTCAAGAGGAGTAGGAGGAGCAGGAGGAGCAGGGGCAGGAGGAGGGGCGGGAGGAGGAGCAGGTGCAGCAGGGTTGGGATCGGTGGCGAGGTGGCAAGCCCCCTTTGAGTGGGACGCTCAGGTGGCTGCGATTGGGCGAGATGTGTTTGGGATCGGACGGTTCAGATCGCAGCAGAGGGAGGTAAGGGGTCAGGCTCGGAAGCAGGGACGGTATGGGGCCAGGCTGGGGGGCAGACAAGTACAGGATCTACCCTGCCCTCCCTCCCTGTTTTAGATCATTAATGCAGTCCTGTGCAAGCGGGACGTGTTTGTGGTCATTCCGGCAGGGCGGGCGGCAAGAGCCTCTGCTACCAGCTGCCAGCGCCTCTGCCCTTCTTCCTTACCACCGCACTGACCTTATCATTCTCCTCTCTTCACTCTCCACTCGCTCCTCCTCCCTCCCACTCCCCTCATCAGATCATCAACGCAGTGTTGTGCAAGCGAGACGTGTTTGTGATCATGCCAGCAGGGGGAGGCAAGAGCCTCTGCTACCAGCTGCCTGCGCTGCTCTCTCCAGGCATCTCCCTTGTCGTCAGCCCTCTGCTGTCGCTCATCCACGACCAGGTGAGACAGTGGGTGAGTCTTCATCTAGTGTGTGTGTGTGTGTGTGTGTGTGTGTGTGTGTGTGTGTGTGTGTGTGTGTGTGTGTGTGTGTGTGTGTGTGTGTGAGACAGCATACACTGCTTTCATTACGTACTGTGAATGCGTGCAGTGTGGTTTCCTCTGCTACCAGCTGCCAGCGCTGCTCTCGCCAGGCATCTCCCTGGTCGTCAGCCCGCTGCTCTCTCTCATTCACGACCAGGTGTGATTACAAGAACGCGTGATAGTATGTGCTGTGATTATACTAGGTGTATGCAGTTTGATTCCCTCTGCTATCATCTGCCAGCGCTGCTCTCCCAGGGATCTCCCTCGTCGTCAGCCCGCTGCTCTCACTTATTCACGACCAGGTGAGTGAGATAACATGTCGTGTGATTATATGTAGCGTGACTGTGTAGTGTGTGTGTCTCTCTCTGCTACCAGCTGCCTGCGCTGCTCTCTCCAGGCATCTCCCTGGTCGTCAGCCCTCTGCTGTCGCTCATCCACGATCAGGTGTGTCCTTGTGTGTTGTGAGATTATACCAAGTGTACATGGATGCAGTTGATTTCCCTCTGCTACCAGCTGCCTGCGCTGCTCTCTGCAGGCATCTCGCTCGTCGTCAGCCCGCTGCTGTGGCTCATACACGACCAGGTGTGTGATTGTATTGTGTGAAATCAGAAAGTGTGATTGTATCAGTGTGCTTGAGTAAGGTGTGTGTTGGTCTGGTCTGACCCCCTCTGCTACCAGCTATCTGCGCTGCTCTCTCCAGGCATCTCCCTTGCTGTCAGCCTGCTGCTCTCGCTCGTCCACAACCAGGCGAGTATCAATAACATGCCATGTGATTGTATGTAGCGTGACTGTGTAGGGTGTGTGTGTGCCTCTCCCTCTGCTACCAGCTGCCAACGCTACTTTTCTCTCTCCAGGCATCTCCCTTGTGGTCAGCCCTCTGCTATCGCTAATCCACGACCAGGTGAGTGATTACAATAGAATGTGATTGCATGTAGTGTGACTAGCGTAACTGTGTAGGGTGTGTGCTGGTGTGACTCCCTCTGCTACCAGCTGCCAGCGCTGCTCTCCCCAGGCATCTCCCTGGTCGTCAGCCCACTTTTGTCGCTCATTCACGACCAGGTAGGTACTGTAGTGTGCTTATATGCAGTGCGATTATGCGTGATGTGGTTCTGTACACAATGTAAGAGCCTCTGCTACCAGCTGCCTGCGCTGCTCTCCCCAGGCATCTCCCTGGTCGTCAGCCCACTTTTGTCGCTCATTCACGACCAGGTAGGTACTGTAGTGTGCTTATATGCAGTGCGATTATGCGTGATGTGGTTCTGTACACAATGTAAGAGCCTCTGCTACCAGCTGCCTGCGCTGCTCTCCCCAGGCATCTCCCTGGTCGTCAGCCCACTTTTGTCGCTCATTCACGACCAGGTAGGTACTGTAGTGTGCTTATATGCAGTGCGATTATGCGTGATGTGGTTCTGTACACAATGTAAGAGCCTCTGCTACCAGCTGCCTGCGCTGCTCTCCCCAGGCATCTCCCTGGTCGTCAGCCCACTTTTGTCGCTCATTCACGACCAGGTAGGTACTGTAGTGTGCTTATATGCAGTGTGATTATGCGTGATGTGGTTCTGTACACAATGTAAGAGCCTCTGCTACCAGCTGCCTGCGCTGCTCTCCCCAGGCATCTCCCTGGTCGTCAGCCCGCTGCTGGCTCTCATCCACGACCAGGTGAGTGATCACAATATAGTGTGTGGCTGTACGTAGTGTCAATGTATGTAGCGTGATTGTCTAGGGTGTGTGCTGGTGTGACCCCCTCTGCTACCAGCTGCCAGCTCTTCTCTCCCCAGGCATCTCCCTGGTCGTCAGCCCTCTGCTGGCTCTCATTCATGATCAGGCGAGTGATCACAATATAGTGTGTGGCTGTACAAAGAGAGAGTCAATGCATGCGGTGCCACTGCCTCTGCTACCAGCTACCTGCGCTTCTTTCCCCAGGCATCTCCCTGGTCGTCAGCCCTCTGCTGGCTCTCATCCACGACCAGGTGGGTGATTAGCAGAGGGCTCTCTCTGCTCTGCTCTCTCTCTCTCTTGGGTGATCACGCTGCTCTTGCCTGGCTCTCTTGCTTGCTCTCCCCCCCACACACGTACACAGGTCATTTGTCTGTCGGGCTTTGGTGTGCCGGCAGCCATGCTCACATCTACCACCTCCAAAGACGAGGAACGGGCGGTCTATAATACCCTGGAGCATGGGGAAGGGGTGGGGGGAAGTGGCGGCTGTCATGCTCACTTCTACAACCTCCAAGGACGAGGAAAGGACGATCTATTCTAAGCCCCTCTCTTTGCTCCCCTCCCCCTTGCCCTCACCCTCTCCTCTCCCCACTAGGTCATGTGCCTGTCAGGCTTTGGCGTGCCAGCGGCCATGCTCACATCTACAACGTCCAAAGACGAGGAAAGGGCGATTTACAATACTCTGGGCTACTGAACATCCACCTACTTCCCTCTCTCCTCCCCCCAACCACACAGGTCATGTGCCTGTCAGGCTTTGGCGTGCCAGCGGCCATGCTCACATCTACAACGTCCAAAGAGGAGGAAAGGGCAATCTATAATACTTTGGAGCATGGGGAAGGGGTGGGGGGGAGTGGCGGAGGGGGAAGGGGAAGGGGACGGGGGAGTGCGAAGGGGGGAGGGGGGAGAGGGAGAGGGAAGAGCGCGGCAGGAAAACCGAGTCGAGGGAGAGGGAGGGGGAGAGCGGGAGGAGGGGGAAGAGGGCAAGGAAAACGGAAGAGAGGCGACGACGAGGAGGCGGAGAGCGAGGAGGAGGAGGAAGAGTGGGGAGGAGAGTATGGGGGGGAAAGAGAGGAAGGAGAAGGTAAGGGGAGAGCAGAAGAAGCAGCAGCAGCAGCTGCTGCAGCAGGGCTGAAGCTGCTATATGTGACGCCTGAGAAGGTGGCGAGGAGCAAGCGATTCATGTCCAAACTGGAGAAGTGCCACGCTGCTGGGAGACTTTCATTAATTGCAATAGATGTGAGTGGGTTTAGATGGGGTAATCACACGTGGACACAGACTCACAGTAACCTCAAGGAGCAAGCGGTTCATGTCCAAACTGGAGAAGTGCCACGCTGCTGGGCGATTGAGTCTCGTTGCGATTGATGTGAGTACTAGGTATAGATGTGGTAACCACATGGTAACCCCACTTTACTGAAGCTGCTGTACGTGACTCCTGAGAAGGTGGCGAGGAGTAAACGGTTCATGTCCAAACTGGAGAAGTGCCATGCTGTTGGGCGACTGAGTCTCATTGCAATAGACGTCAGTGCAGGCACGCAAAAGCCACAAGGAACAGAACCATGCACACATGGTAACCACAAGGAGCAAGCGGTTCATGTCGAAGCTGGACAAGTGCCACGCTGCTGGGAGACTGAGTCTACTCGCTATGGATGTGAGTGGTAACCAACAATTTCTGAGCGAGCAGCAAGCGGTCCAAGTCGAAGCTGGACAAGTGCCGTGCCACGCTGCTGGGAGGCTCTTCCCGATTAGGCAACGCAGCACTTCCCCCCATCCCAGCCACTTCCCCTCACCTTCTACCGGGTTTCCTCCCCTGGTGTTTTTCGCTTCTCAGGAGGCGCATTGCTGCAGCCAGTGGGGCCACGACTTCCGCCCTGACTATGCTCCTCACTCCCCTCACCGCCACTTCCCCCACCCATCTTCCTTGCTCCCCCTCTCTCCACTTTCCCCCTGCAGGAGGCGCATTGCTGCAGCCAGTGGGGCCATGATTTCCGCCCTGACTACGCTCATCTCTCAGTGCTTAAAAAGCAGTTCCCCAAAACGCCCATGCTCGCCCTCACAGTGAGTCACCGCTTCTTCCTCAGTCAAAGAAGGTTATGGGAATAATGAGTTCAACCGTGTGCTGGTCTCATGCCCCCCCGCCCCACTATGCTCATCTGTCAGTTCTGAAAAAGTCCCACGGATCTGCGCTCATGAAGAAGGGCAGCAGTAGGCAAGGTCGCCCCCGCCCCACTATGCTCATCTGTCAGTTCTGAAAAAGCAGTCCCCTGCCCCGACTATGCTCATCTGTCTGTGCTCAAGAAGCAGTTCCCCAAGACGCCCATGCTCGCTCTCACAGTGAGTGCTGTTCTCATTGTGGTGCTGCCCTCACAGTGAGTGCTGCTCTCATAGTGGTGCTGCCCTCACCTCATAGTGCCAAGAGGGGGGAGGGGGCGGGAAAGGGTCCCCTGCCCCGACTATGCTCATCTGTCTGTGCTGAAAAAGCAGTTCCCCAAGACGCCCATGCTCGCCCTCACAGTGAGTGCTCGCCCTTCCCCTTCCCCTTTCAGTCACTACCGTTTCTCTGTCTAGTGTGAAGGCATTACTATGACTGCGCTCATCTGTCAGTGCTCAAGAAGCAGTTTCCCAAGACGCCCATGCTGGCTCTCACAGTGAGTGCTCGCCCTTCCCCTTTCAGTCATTCGTGTCTCTGTCTAGTGAAGGCATGACTATGACTACGCTCATCTCTCAGTTCTGAAGAAGCAGTTCCCCAAGACGCCCATGCTGCCCCAAGACGCCCATGCTGCCTCAAGACGCCCATGAAGAAACAATATTCCCCCAAGGCTGCCTCTCTATATGATATACTCTTCGCCCAACCACCCCTGCCCCTTTTTTATTGACATCTGGGATGCTGTGAGCGACTTACTGCAAAGCCGATTCTTATTTGCTTCCAGCCTCTCGCACTGCGTTGTCACTCAAATGAACGTCTCTCTGTCCATCCGTCTCCCCTTTTCCACCCTTTCTTTCAAGGCAACAACAACAGACAGAGTGAGGGACGATGTGAGGGACATGCTTCAAATGAGGCGATGCGAGCTGTTTGTCCCAGCCTCCCTACCTGATCAAATCAATACCCCCTTTGCCTCTCCAACATCCCTCTCCCCCTCAAGGCAACAGCGACAGAGCGTGTGAGGGACGACGTGAGGGACATGCTTCAAATGCGCCGCTGCGAGCTGTTTGTCTCCTCTGTCAACCGGCCCAATCTCTTCTACGAGGTGCGTGTTTTGGATGTGACTGTGTCGGAGGTGACTGTATGCGCCTTCTTTCAGACTTGGCACCAACCATACCTTCCCTCTCTGTGTCCCTCTCAGGTGCGGGAGAAGCCGCCTGGTGCTGCACCTGCTGTGGAGTCTATTGCACACTTCATCTTGGAGCACTACGCTCCCTCGGACTCAGGCATCGTCTACTGCTTCTCAAGGAAGGAGTGCGAGCAGGTGCAGTGCGGTGGGAGCAGGTAAGATGCGAGAAAGTACGGTGTGAATAGGTACAGTGCGGTTGGAGCAGGTATGCAGCACCTGCTGTGGAGTCTATTGCACACTTCATCTTGGAGCACTACACTCCCTTGGACTCAGGCATCGTCTACTGCTTCTCACGCAAGGAGTGTGAGCAGGTACGCTGTGGTGGTAGCAGGTACGCTGTGGTGGTAGCCGGTACGATGGGAAGAAGTGAGGTGTGAGCAGAGCAGGTATGCTACAGCTCCTGTGGCGTCTCTCGCTTGGTTCATTCGCTCTCCTTACACCATGCATGCTCCTTCAAACAAGACCCTGACAACACCTGTCAGGGTCATTCGCTCTCCCTACACCATCCATGACAACACCTGTCAGGGTCATTCGCTCTCCCTACACCATCCATGACAACACCTGTCAGGGTCATTCGCTCTCCCTACACCATCCATGACAACACCTGTCAGGGTCATTCGCTCTCCCTACACCATCCATGACAACACCTGTCAGGGTCATTCGCTCTCCCTACACCATCCATGACAACACCTGTCAGGGTCATTCGCTCTCCCTACACCATCCATGACAACACCTGTCAGGGTCATTCGCTCTCCCTACACCATCCATGACAACACCTGTCAGGGTCATTCGCTCTCCCTACACCATCCATGACAACACCTGTCAGGGTCATTCGCTCTCCCTACACCATCCATGACAACACCTGTCAGGGTCATTCGCTCTCCCTACACCATCCATGACAACACCTGTCAGGGTCATTCGCTCTCCTTACACCATCCATGACAACACCTGTCAGGGTCATTCGCTCTCCTTACACCATCCATGACAACACCTGTCAGGGTCATTCGCTCTCCTTACACCATCCATGACAACACCTGTCAGGGTCATTCGCTGAACTTTCTCCTCCACTGCTGCTCGCTGGATCATGTCTAATGGTCTGCTGTGGCGTCTCTCGCTCGGTTCATTCGCTCTCCTTACGCCATGCATGCTCCTTCAAACAAGACCCTGACAACACCTGTCTTTGAGTCGACTCAAAAGTCAGCTCCTTCAGACCCTGGCATGGCATCGTCTACTGCTTCTTTCATTTCGTTCCCCACCTCTGTGCTCCTATCGTTCCCAGGCAGCATCGGAGTTATTGCTGCGTGGGATCCCAGCAACACACTACCATGCCGACATGGACCCATCCTCATCTCACCCCTGCTGACTCTCCCGCTCTCCCATCGTATGCCTGTTGCGGCACACCCTGTCCCCACCTCTCCCACCTCCCATCACTCCCAGGCAGCATCGGAGTTATCGCTGCGTGGAATCCCAGCGGCACACTACCATGCCAATATGGACCCATCTCATCGCACTCTCATTCTCTCTCTCAACTCAAGCGGTCCTTCATTGATTGTAATCAGGGTACATTCTCTCTCCCCCCCTCTCGCATCACTGGTCTGGTCTGTTGCGCCACCCTTGTCCTCACCTCCCCCTTCCCATCACTCTCAGGTGGCATCGGAGCTGTCACTGCGGGGCATCCCAGCAGCGCACTACCATGCCGACATGGACCCATCCCATCGCACCCACGTGCATGTCAGGTACGAAAGAAGGTACATAGAATGAGAGAACAAAGTGGTGGAGAGTAAGTGAGTCTATCAGCAGCAGCACGCAACCATGCTGACATGGATGGACCCAGTCCAGTCACCCAGCCCATCGCGCACTCGTGCATGTGAGGTGAGGTACGTTGATGGTACTTTTGAAAATGGTACTTTTGATAATGGTACTTATAAAATTGGTACTTGAGCATGGTACTATTGAAAGTACCATCAACGTAGGTGGACAATGTGCATGAATTTGCACGGGGTGTGCTTTGGAGGTGAGCGCTACTAGCAGCACGCTACCATGCTGACATGACATGGACACGGCCCATTGCACACACCGTGACTCGTGCATGTCAGGTACAAAAAGGGGGGAGCTGCACTGTGCGTGAGCGACTGGGATGAGAGGGCTACATGGTTGCATTCTCGCTCTCCCATCCTATTTCTAAGCCTCGCCATTGCCCTCCAAATTCGTCTCTTCTTCCCTCAATCCTCCCTATCAGCTGGAGCAGGGGAGAAGTGCAAGTCATTGTGGGCACTGTGAGTGACCGGGTTGGGAGGGGTGGGGGAAAAGGGGGGAAGGGGGGTATAGTTGGGTAAGGAAACTAGTTGAAAGTTAGCAGGGGTGAAGTGCAAGTCATTGTGGGCACTGTGAGTGACTGGGGGAGGGAGGGAACGGGGGGAAAGGGGAGGGGGAAAGAGAGGAAAGAGGAAAGAGGTGAAGAGGGGGGAAGGAGGGGAAAGAGGGGACGCAGGGGAAGGGATGGAAAGAGGGAAATGGAGGAGAGGGGAGTTACAAGCGTGTGTTAATATCTGCCCATTCACTTGTGTATGTTGGGTGTAGTAATTTATGGCAGGTGGCTTTAATGTTTTGTGGGTCATGGTCCTATCAATTGTGAACATCCGTGTATTTGCATGTTGTGTGCATGTGTGCATGTGTGCATGTGTGCATGTGTGCATGTGTGTGCATATGTTTGCTGGTGTTTGTGCTGGTGTCATGGCAGGTGGCTTTTGGAATGGGAATAAACAAGCCTGATGGTACGCCATGCCTTGCTGCTTACTTTGCTGCTAATTTGAAGCCAATATTTTTTTTTTTCTATGCGCATATGTGTTTTTTAGTGCGTTCTTTAAGGGTTCTACTACCTATCCCCGTTCCTTTCTCCATTCGCTTATAATACAGCATCTTGGGTTCGACAAACGGATTGAAACATAGGCTCTTGTCTTGTCACTCTCTCCTCCTCCCTCTTTCTCCCCTTCCCCCTCTGCAGTTCGGTTTGTCATACACCATACTCTCAGCAAGTCTATAGAGACGTATTACCAGGTAACCTGCTGTTTCAGAAGTGCCTCGAACGGTTTCGGTTTGTCATTTTCAGGTAATCCCCTTGTCCGTTTTCTGTTTTGAGACGCCTAAAAAACAATTTCGAGATGTCTCAAAACACGTTTTCTTATTGTCACTTTCAGGTAATTAGACTTTCCGGGTGACTTTTGAGTCGACTCAAAAGTCACCTCGTTACAATGGCACACGGCACGTTTTTTTTATTGTCATTTCCAGGTAATTGGCCCATCCGATGATTCCTGTGAGATGCCCTGGTCACTGACTCTTTCCTTCGTTTCTCCACTTCTTTTTTCCATGTTTTTTTTTCTCTTTCCCAGGAGAGTGGGCGAGCGGGCAGGGATGGGCTGCCGGCTCGCTGCATTCTCTTCTTCCGATGCGCCGACCTGCCCCGACAGGTGAGGCAGGGTGATGCAGGGTGAGGCAGGGTGAGACAGGGTGAGACAGGGTGAGACAGGGTGAGACAGGGTGAGACAGGGTGAGACAGGGTGAGACAGGGTGAGACAGGGTGATGCAGGGTGAGACAGGGTGAGACAGGGTGAGACAGGGTGAGACAGGGTGAGACAGGGTGAGACAGGGTGAGACAGGGTGAGACAGGGTGAGACAGGGTGAGACAGGGTGAGACAGGGTGAGACAGGGTGAGACAGGGTGAGACAGGGTGAGACAGGGTGAGACAGGGTGAGACAGGGTGAGACAGGGTGAGACAGGGTGTTACAGTGGAGTGGGAAGCTATGAATGAAACTACTGGGGGTGAGGGGCAGGCAAGGATGGGCTGCCGGCGCGCTGCATTGTCTTCTTCCGATCCGCAGACCTGCCCAGACAGGTGAGTAAGTTGACAAGGGTGGGAGGCGGGGAGTAGGCGGTTACTAAGAGGCGATAAGGGGAACAGTGTGAGCGGGAAGCATATAATTGGGATAACGGACAGATTTTGCAGATAATGCAGGTCTCATCAACCTAAAGAGGTCTGAGTCGTTTCATTACCCGTCTCCCCACCTGCCGCTTCCCCACCTGCCTTATTCGCACCTTCCGCATTCCGCATCTGCCTTGTTCCCACCTGCCATATTCCCAACTTCTCTACCCCAGAGCCGATTGGTCTTTGCAGAAAACGCAGGACTCATCAACCTTCAGAGTTCCTAGACGTCTCTCCCCACTACCCTCTCCCCTCTCCTTCTCCCCACTCCCCACCTCAGAGCAGCATGGTATTTGCAGAGAACGCTGGGCTGATCAATCTGTATGCCATGGGGCGGTATGCCATGGTGAGTGGGTGGGTGAGTGGGTGGGTGAGTGGGTGGGTGTTGGAGGAATGAGTGAGACAGTGGGTGCCATCTTGTGAGAGTTGTGCTATTTGCAGAGAACGCTGGGCTGATCAATCTGTATGCCATGGGGCGGTATGCCATGGGGCGGTATGCCATGGTGAGTGGGTGGGGTGGGGGAGTCATATACAGCAGCAGGGGGGTATCAGACTGGGCTGATGAACCTGTATGCCATGGTGAGTGGGTGGGGTGAGGGAGTCATATACAGCAGCAGGGGGGTATCAGACTTCAGGCACTTTCTCCCATCCTTCCCATCCCTTTCCACAGCCGTTCCACCCCTTTCCACCCCAATCCATCCCTCCCTCCTCCCTAAAGAATCGCCGTGAGTGTCAGAGAACGGCTAACTTCAGGCACTTTCTCCCATCCTTCCCATCCCTTTCCACAGCCGTTCCACCCCTTTCCACCCCAATCCATCCCTCCCTCCTCCCTAAAGAATCGCCGTGAGTGTCGGAGAACGGCTAACTTCAGGCACTTTCTCCCATCCTTCCCATCCCTTTCCACAGCCGTTCCACCCCTTCCTTTCCACCCCAATCCATCCCTCCTTCCTCCCTAAAGAATCGCCGTGAGTGTCGGAGAACGGCTAACTTCAGGCACTTTCTCCCATCCTTCCCATCCCTTTCCACAGCCGTTCCACCCCTTTCCACCCCAATCCATCCCTCCCTCCTCCCTAAAGAATCGCCGTGAGTGTCGGAGAACGGCAATCTTCAGACACTTTGGGGAGGAGCCGAGGGAATGCGAAGGTGAGCGGTTGACAGATGTTGTGTGATGTGGTGTGGTGCAGTGGAGTGTAGTGGGGTGTGGTAATGTACTGTGCGGTGCCATCTCATGTCAAAGGAAGACTGGCCATCTTTAGGCAGTTTGGGGAGGAGCCGAGGGAATGTGAGGGTGAGTGTGTGAAGTCCTTGTATGATGCATGCTTAACACTATGCAATTCCCTAGAGAAGGACGGCCTTCTTTAGGCAGTTTGGGGAGGAGCCGAGGGAATGTGAGGGTGAGTGTGTGAAGTCCTTGTATGATGCATGCTTAACACTATGCAATTCCCTAGAGAAGGACGGCCTTCTTTAGGCAGTTTGGGGAGGAGCCGAGGGAATGTGAGGGTGAGTGTGTGAAGTCCTTGTATGATGCATGCTTAACACTATGCAATTCCCTAGAGAAGGACGGCCTTCTTTAGGCAGTTTGGGGAGGAGCCGAGGGAATGTGAGGGTGAGTGTGTGAAGTCCTTGTATGATGCATGCTTAACACTATGCAATTCCCTAGAGAAGGACGGCCTTCTTTAGGCAGTTTGGGGAGGAGCCGAGGGAATGTGAGGGTGAGTGTGTGAAGTCCTTGTATGATGCATGCTTAACACTATGCAATTCCCTAGAGAAGGACGGCCTTCTTTAGGCAGTTTGGGGAGGAGCCGAGGGAATGTGAGGATGAGTGTGTGAAGTCCTTGTATGATGCATGCTTAACACTATGCGATTCCCTAGAGAAGGACGGCCTTCTTTAGGCAGTTTGGGGAGGAGCCGAGGGAATGTGAGGGTGAGTGTGTGAAGTCCTTGTATGATGCATGCTTAACACTCTGCAATTCCCTAGAGAAGGACAGCCTTATTTAGGCAGTTTGGGGAGGAGCCGAGGGAGCGTGAAGGTGAGCTGGTGAAATGTTTTGCCATGATATTGGTTTGGTGGGGTGTGGTTGGTTTTGGTGTGGCTGGTTGTGGTGGGGTGTGGTGGGGTGCGAAGGCGAGCTGGCCAAACATGGTAGTCGCGGTGTTAGTCAGCAAAGTGCCATACCATGCCGTCCTATGCTGAAGAATGTCCACCCCACCACTCCACACCCCTCCACACCCCACCCCACCACCACACCCGTCCACGCCCCACCCCACCACTCCACACCACACCATACCATACCCCTCCACACCCCACCCCTCTGCATCCCGCCCAGGCATGTGTGACATTTGCAGCCAGGGAGGAGGAGGAGGGGAACGAACAGCGCAGCAGGACTTTACTCCCCACGCCCGTTCCATCCTCGAATTCGTTCAAGAAACCCAATCGTCCAAGGAGAAATCCCTCACACTGTTGCAGCTTACAGAGCAATGGCGAACAGGAGGCAGGGGAGGAGGGGGGGGAGGCGGAGGAGTGGGGAGAGGGAATGTGAAGGCGGGGGGAAAAGGGGAATCCGAGAGTTGGGGTTCGTTGGTGAAAGGGATCACTAAAGAGACAACAGAGCAGCTTATAACGCATATGCTCCTGTCATCTGTGCTGGTGAGTAGAGTAGGCTATCTAGTACAATCAAAATACATCTCGCTCCTGTATTCATTCCAATGTCGTATGGCCTATGTACTGTATACATTAGAAGTATGAAGGTTTTTCTTATGTGTGACTATAGTGGGAGGAGTTTCAGCACTCACCTTATGCTACAAACACCTACTTGCTTTTGCGTCATGTGCTTGTGCACGTTCCCCATACTGCCTCATATGTGACTAAAGAGGGAGGAGTTTCAGCACTCACCATACGCCACAAACGTCTCAAATGCCAATCCGGTTTTGCATGTGCATGCTCGTTTGTATGTGCCCTAAACCGTTGCTTGCCTGTGTGACTATAGAGGGAGGAGTTTCAGCACTCGCCATATGCCACAAATGCCTACCTGCTTCCGGGCCGCAATGCACACCGCGTCCTCACAGGTGAGTGAGTGGTTTCAGGTGAGTGGAGTGGAGATGGTCTCTCAGGAGTTTCAGCACTCACCATATGCCACAAACGCCTATCTGCTTTTGGGCCGCAACGCACACCATGTTCTCTCAGGTGAGCTCAGGTGGCTTTTAAGTCTGTCAAGTGGTTTCAGGTGATTTCTGGTGGCCTTGCAGGTGGTGCCAGGTGAATTCAGGTGGCCTGTCAGGTGAGCCCCTCAACATCCGCCCCTTATCCTCATCCTGCTTCCTTTACCCCTTTCCAGTTTCAAGTTTTTCCTTCCAATTACCTACAAACCATTACAGATCAGATGTGTGCGTTACAACTGGCGTACAACGGACATTCCCAGCTGAACGCCAACTACACCAGGGAGTTTTTGAGAATTCTCAGTTACAACGCCAACTCCATGTGCGTTACAACGGACATTCCCAGTTGAACGCCAACTACCCCTCCTCCTCCGCGTGTGCTGAGTCGATTTTTGAGTCGACTCAAAAATCGACCCACTACAGATCAGATGTGCGTTACAACGGACATTGCAGGGAGTTTTTGAGAATTCTCAAAAACTCCATGTGCGTTACAACGGACATTCCCTGTTGAACGCCACGCCAACCACACCCCATCCTCCTCCTCCTGCTGCTGCTCCAAACATGCTCTTTTCCTCGTATAAACTGTTTTCTTCCTATCGCCTACACTACAGGTCAGATGCATGTTACAATGGACATCCCCAGACCAGCAACAACAACTACCCCTCATTCTCCTGCTGACCCAAACGTTTCAACTGCACCAACCACCACAACCAACAACTCCACCACTGCTACCACTGCAGCCGCTGCTGCATCTGACGCAAAGCTCTCACGCCGTCTCGACCAATTGCGTCGCTCCGTTGCCTCTCAACACGGCGGCCTGTTCCCACATGCCGTGCTCTCCTCACACCACCTCTTCGCCTTGTCACAATTAAAACCAGCATCCATGCATCAGGTACGGCCCCCCTCATACCTACCTTCATATCTCCATCGCCGCGCAACAAGGCGGGTTGTTCCCCCATGCAGTGCTCTCCTCACACCACCTCTTCGCTCTCTCTCACTCCAAACCAGCCGACATGCCTCAGGTATTGCTTTCTTTACACCAAGGCACATTAGGTACAGCCCTCCTCACACCTCCAAACCGCAGTGGACTCATTGGCCTGGAGTAGAAACCAGCGGCCATGCCTCAGGTATTGCTTTCTTTACACCAAGGTACATCAGGTACGGCCCTCCTCACAACACATTACCGCAGTCAAAACCAGCTGCCATGCCTCAGGTATTGCTTTCTTTACAGCAAGGCACATTAGGTAGGGCCCTCCTCATGCCTCCAAACCTCAGTGGCCTCAGTGGCCTCAGTGGCCTGGAGTAGAAACCAGCGGCCATGCCTCAGGTATTGCTTTCTTTACAGCAAGGCACATTAGGTAGGGCCCTCCTCATGCCTCCAAACCTTAGTGGCCTCAGTGGCCTCAGTGGCCTGGAGTAGAAACCAGCGGCCATGCCTCAGGTATTGCTTTCTTTACAGCAAGGCACATTAGGTAGGGCCCTCCTCATGCCTCCAAACCTTAGTGGCCTCAGTGGCCTGGAGTAGAAACCAGCGGCCATGCCTCAGGTATTGCTTTCTTTACAGCAAGGCACATTAGGTAGGGCCCTCCTCATGCCTCCAAACCTCAGTGGCCTCAGTGGCCTCAGTGGCCTGGAGTAGAAACCAGCGGCCATGCCTCAGGTATTGCTTTCTTTACACCAAGGTACATCAGGTACGGCCCTCCTCACACCTCCATACCTCCATTGCCTCTCAACACGGGGAGTTGTTCGGCCATGCTGTGCTCTCCTCGCACCACCTTCTCGCTCTCTCATTC